GCTTGTTTATTGTTTGTGAGCACCCCTGCGTCCTTGTCACCCGCTGAGATTCCAACAACGTCCCTGAATGCCAATGACGGTTCTACTGGAGGCTGTAACCAGATGATTGTGACGCTCATTGTAATTCTAGCGTTGTGTGTGTTTTGGGATTTAGTGTGTGTATGATTCCAACCAAATATTACACAATTTTTTTTAAGCTAATTTCCTAAAAGTCAGCCGAAGAAAAATGCAAATCAGCCAATGCTTCCATCAGCCGATGCTCTGCGAGTTTTCCCAAGCGGACGGAGTTAAAAGAGCACCAGTGACTCTGAAGTTGTGCAATTTCATTGCTGCTTCCCACCTAATGTGGCATTTATGTAAATGTTATGAATTAATTTCTCTCTGGATGTACTTTCTCTTTTTTTAGGCTGTTGCCCTTTTTTATTCATCAATTCATTCATTTGAATTTGATTGGTTGTCTCTCTTTTCTGGACGTGTTCCCTGTTAGCTCTACTGTCGGCCTGGGGCTGGAGCCTCCGTGACGATCATTAGCGGCTGCTAGCCAGACCAAAGAAATGTCCGTGGTCCTGTTATACTTTTGTAGACCAAGTATAAGTACTTACATCTGAGTACTTGCAGATACTAAGTCCCGATATGATGACTAAATTAAAAAAACATTAAAAACTGCTGTGCGTTTGAATTGATTTAGAATTTGAGTGTTTATGAAGCCTGGAGCTATTCGGTGCAGCCTTATTTGAAAGTTAAAGACAACACACACACACCAGCTGCATGTGATGCGTTAAGAATCACACACCCGTTGTGTTTCCAGCGTTGCCGCTTCTCAGCGCTAGCTAGCGTTTAGCAGCTAGCAATGTTTCCCTCAGGAGTCGGTGGAGACCAAAGCGGAGCTAAAAGAAAAGATAGATTTACATTCACCTCAAGGCCGATACACAACTCCCCAAAAAATGCTGACCGTGGTGGATTTGTTTCCCCATATCAACATTCTAAGGAAGCGTGTGTTCTTCCTAACGTTGATCAGTGAGATGTTCACGGACCATCGGTGTACATTCAGTAAAACATCTGGTTCCCCTTAATGGGCAGTTATTATGAGTTTTGTTGGGCGGTGGTGAAAAACGATAGTCTAAACCCTTTTATAGCTCCCGAAACAAAACGACAACAAAACCCATCTGTAGTGACAATCGGCAATCGTTGTCGGCAACAAGAAAATGCGATCGTAGCGTCTCTAAAAGTATTTTTTTTTTCCTGGTCTCCTGATCCGATCTGAGACTCAGACGTGATGCAAACTCAACCGTGATCCATTGCACCCAAAACCAAGAATGTGTGTGTTCTGCTGGTTTACGACTGTATTTGTGCGATTGTGTGTTCAATGCCGCTGTGACTGTGTATCTGTGAGTATACTCTGACACACTGTGTGTGGGTGGGTGTGTGGGTGTGTGCGGGGGGGGCTAGATGAGATGGTATTTCATCCTTGTCATTGCAATGCTCCAAGCTATGAAGAGGAAACGGTTGTAATGATACACAGTTTTGCCATTTGTAATGATCTGTCTTTGTGTGTGTGTGTGTGTGTGTGTGTGTGTGTGTGTGTGTGTGTGTGTGTGTGTGTGTGTGTGTAGTCGCTGGTGAAACAGCCGTTGTGTCGGCGTCGGGCTCTGCTGAAAGAAAGTTTCTCAGAAGTGGAAGGAGAGTTTGTGTTCGCACGTTCCATCGACTCCGACAACACAGACGCCATCGCAGAGTTCCTGGAGCAGTCTGTCCGAGGTGTGTGTGTATTCATGATCGTGTGTGTTAGACGGAGATGCAGCTTCTTATTTGTTTCCCTTCCTGCTGTCCCCCGTGTGTCTTGAACCTTTTTGTTTGTGGGTGTTACATGCAAGTTACATTTCAGGTGTGTGTGTAGTTGTATTTTCGCTGCTTCTTTGTTTGACTTGTATGTTGGTTGTGTTATTGTGTGTGTTTTTGCAAACCAGAGATGCAACTTGTGAGTTGTGTAATTGGGTTTTCTAGTGTTGTGTCCCCAGACTTGGTCTACTGTCTCCTGTGTCATGAACCTTTTGTGTGTGTGCGTGTGTGTCTCAGATGGAGACAAAGACCTTCCATGTATCTAAAAGATAATCTGTTAATTTCCTTTCTGCACAACTAGAATCGTGTTTTGGTGTATTAATATGTGTGTGTGTGTGTGTAGACTCCTGCGAGGGTCTAATGGTGAAGACTCTGGAGAAAGATGCCACATATGAAATTGCCAAGCGCTCTCACAACTGGCTCAAGGTGTGTGTGTGTGTGTGTGTGTGTGTGTGTGTGTGTGTGTGTGTGTGAGAGAGAGAGACACAACTAAAAAGCATCTGTCCTCAAATACAAACACGTGAGCCCACATTTATGCATCTCTGACTCAATTAATTTACTTCTGTTGTAAAATATTCCATTGTTTTACTATTCTTAATAATTTAGTGTCGAACAATAAAAGCTGATTTCATATTTCTGGAGGACAAAAAGGAATTTAGCTCGTCAACATTTTCAGTCTTTATTCAAGAACTCTGACAGTTCTCAGTGTTGATAAATGACATTTAATTGTGCTTTTTGGCATTTAATTAATGCTATAATGCTATGATGTATTGCATCCTTCGTTATGAAACCTGTAGTTGTATCTGTCACGTTCGGCCGTGTCCTCCCTCAGCTGAAGAAGGACTACCTGGACGGTGTCGGCGACACGGTCGACCTGTGTGTGATCGGCGCCTACCTGGGGAAAGGCAAGCGGACGGGCACCTACGGGGGCTTCCTGCTGGCCTGCTACGACGAGGACAACGAGGAGTTCCAGTCCGTCTGCAAGGTGGGTGTCTGTTCGGTCCGTGTGTTACGATGCAGCGCTCAGGGTTTCTTCCACTGATGATACGTTTAAAAAAAAACAACAACAAGGTTTTCAAGTTTAATCATTGAAACTAAAGGGTCATAAAGTTAGGTGTGGAACACTGGACACTTCCTCAATGGTCGCCATCTTGGCTACGAAGTGGAGGAGGAGTGACCGCTAAACATGTGGGACGATGTATGTTCCACCTCCGTTGAAACGGAGAGTACACACACGCAAGTACAATAAAATTGTGTTGTTTTTTTTATTGAGTTTTACTACGATTGTCAGCTGGGCGAACAAGCCGGCAGATGTTACGGTGGGCAACAATCACGTTTAAATGTCCGGTCGCAATTCACCATTAATAAGGAAAAGAAGAGGTGAAATGTTGTGATCGTTATTAACAGCTGCGTTCGATTGGAGACACCAACTGTGTACACACAGTGTACGTGTACTAACAGACGTTTCTGAAATGAGACACGGCAAAAAGTGAATCAACTTGATGGTGCTTGTGTGCTTCACTGGGGCTAAAATATGATCAATATTCACTTTATTTAATGAGGAGGAATTGTGTGTGTGTGTGTGTGTGTGTGTGTGTGCGTGCGTGCGTGTTTGTGCGTGTGTGTTAAACCTGTAGTGTCTTGTCCGTTCTAGAGTCATCCGGCCCAAAGAACCCGAGTTAAACGTCTCCAAAGAAACCGTTCTCATATTTCTGGCCTGGACACGGACGTCAATATTTTCGGGCAGCGTTCGAATCGTGAAGTTCAAAATGTTAATATATGTTGTTTAGTTTTGCCCTCTGGCAGTTCATGTATTTAAACATGCAACCTTTTGGTGAGGCAAGACCAATCTTCAGCTCCCAACATATTTAATGTGTCGTAGCACCGCCAGCGTTCTGACAACCCGCTTGTTCTCTTTAGTTTAATAAGCTTTCCAGATCTCTGTATTTAGGAGGTGTATAGTGTCGATAGGGTTGTGTTTTCTGTTTATAAAGTGTGTGTGCTGCGGGGTGTTTATATACAAACGCAACCGAAACACTCAGCACAGACATACAGAGAGTGTGTGTGTGTGTGTGTGTGTGTGTGTGTGTGTGTGTGTGTGTGTGTGTGTGTGCGTGTGTGTTTGTGTTTGTGTAAGTGCTTTTGAACTGTCACTTTTCCCCTCAAATCTGAGTCGGAGGAAAATTTTTGTGTGGGTGTGTGTGTAGGCGTGACTGGGTGCATTTTAGGATAAGTGGTAAGCGTGTATCGGAGCTTGCGTGACCGTGTGTGTGTGTGTGTGTGCGTGTGTGTGTGTGTGTGTGTGTGTGTGTGTTTGAGATAATAAGAGCGTGAACAAGCAGCAGTATGACTTCACCACAGAGCATACATTCTGTCTCTTCGTTGTCCTGCTAAAACCTTCCATCTCCCGTTTTTTCTTCGCCTTCTGTAACTTTTTGTGTCTTTATCTGTGGAAAGGGGATTCAGCGAGCAGCGCCGCCCGCTTCACTTTCATGTACTTGCACACACTCACACCTGGGAGCTCGCCGGTACGACCGCAGCTGTTCTCCACCGGAGCCGGTAGGAAGTTAAAGCGTCCGTTAGATTAAACCTGCGTTCACTGTGCAGGCGGCGCCGGTGGACTTTCCCCGTTCGCACCATAAATAGAACCTCGTCGGAGTATGTTTTCACACTTGAGATTACTATCCCGTGTGAGTGAGGCGGAAGATGGATGCCGTGCTTAGAGTACACAACACAAGACATTTACTTGCTGTGTGTGATGAAGAGCTCCTGTCTGTTGACTGTTATTGATTTTCATCTTCCTTCGCTCGCACAACTGCTTGAGAAACCTTCACTTTTCACATATTCTTCAAACCGAGAGGTTCTATTTCTAACAGTTGCACCTCTAAACAAATGCTGACCGAGCAGCACAATGGAAGCACTCGGTCCAATCACACCAGCTTTTATTATTGTGTTGTTCACACTCTCCGCTCTGATCTGGGCCACATGAAGATGGAGGCTTTGCCGTCTAATCTCCGTTGTGTTTGGAGAACTTGGCAGTTACACTTTGTGCTTTCTTAAAGTTACATTGGTGCATCACCGCCCCCATACCCAGCAACTTTAGTAATATTTAAAAAAGTACACAGAGTTAAAAAAACGAGAGCCAGAATCAGTTTATGTCCTTACAAAGTGACGTACATGTAGCACACAGTCTCTGCTTCTCTTTCTCTTTCTCTTTCACTTTTCAAAGTCAGCCTTAAAACAAACCCCCCCCCCCAACTCTTGTCGTCCTTGACACGGTAAACTTGATCAACCCTCAGTCTGAGAGGCGCCGCTGTAGCTGAAAGCAGAGTTTAACCCACTTCGCCTTTTCCCAAAAGTAATCTCAACTATACGTCCTGCTGAAGTGTCCTTGAGCGAGATCCTCGAGCAGCAGCAGCGGCAGCCGCCGCCGTGAAGTTCACTCGCAGTTCACAGAGAATAAGAGGAATACTAATAAAACCAAAAAGACAATCAGGTTACGGTCCCAGCATGAAGTAGTTGTTTGGACTCTCGTCATTACTTCACTTTTTACAGGTGCTTATTGTGTTCAGTTTGCTCAGGCGTCATAAAAGGCTCATATTTGGTTATTACTGCTGACAAAGTGTTTTATTAAAGACAGAGAAACATCAGATTAAATCCCAGTGTCTTCACCTAAACATAATGAATTTTTGTGTTTGTCAAATATTGCAAAGATAATAATCTCGCATCAAGACTCATCTTGTTCCGCCCTTTTTTTTCCGCTGCGTTTCCCAGCAGGAGTATTGGCTAACGTGTCTGCACACATCTCGTATGAGATGAAAAATAAAAGACAAAGCACAAACGCAGTTGAACGAAAGGCCTTTTTTAAACCGTCTCGTGGTGACGGCAGCCTCGGGAGCACAAAGCTTCTGGTGGACACCTGCAGAATGCACCTTCTGCTCCACATCTGTGAGCTGAGACACGATGCATTTGCATGATGCCTCCTTCCCCTCTCTGTGCACGTCAGCCCGCTGGGTGATTCTTGCGTCTCAGCGGGTTCAGGCCTTTTGAGAGGTGACACGACGCTTCAGGCAAAGCACGGAGGCGGGGGCGGGGGTGTGAGGGGGGGTTCGCTTGCTGTTGTGTGTTCTGCTGCTCGCTGCCAAATGTCTGCTGTCTCACCGTGAGGCAGTGTGTGTATATATCTGAGTGTGTGTGTGTATATATCTGAGTGTGTGTGTGTGTGTATATCTGAGAGTGTGTGCATCTTATCTGCCTTCGTCTCTTCCAGATCGGGACAGGCTTCAAGGATGAAGATCTGGAGCAGCATTACAAGTTCTTACAGGTAATGCGACACAGCGAGCACAAACCTGCTCTGTACAAATCACAACTCCACACTTGTTTTCCCACATTGACGCCGGCGTGTTTTAAATTCATGACCAGGGTTTTAAACATTCTGCAGCTACAGGTTATTCTTCTTCTTTCTTTTTTTTTTTTTTTTTTTTTTTTTCTTTCTTTTTTTTCAATTTTGAGGTTAAAAGAGACGGAGCGAGCGTGGCTTGAGGTCCACTTTTGCTCTGCAAATACTCATCCCCTCATTAAATTCTTCATTTAGATCTGGAAAGTTGGATTTAATGGAAACTTTCATGCCAAAATGAGATTGACGGTGTGCAAATGTACTTCTAAAATACAACTCAAATACTGCAATCATTTAATAAGTGACGCCTGCGGGGACCTTTAAGTGTCCAGAATGAGAGAAGTGGTAGAAATGAGCTCAGGTACAGCCCCCCCCATAGTGTCCACGTAGTGTCTGCTAATCCGAACATGCCATACATCGCCGACAAGGAATTAGAAAAATATAGAAAGAGTGGCTTTGAGCTGCAGGTGTTTTGCTTCCTCGCGGGAAAACATTGGCCGGAGATCCTAAAGTGCTTGTTTCACCAACAAATAATAGAAAAAGTATCTGCGTTTGGAGGAGCTGTGCAGCGCTGAAGTTGGGTAATGAATTGCTTTTTCAATTCACATTTGAAGAGGTTGGTTCCAGAGCAGCAGAGCAGCAGCAGTTGAAGAAATTAACAGCTGCTCCCTGAAAGCGATCGCTGTTGTGAGAGTCGGCATTCATTTGGGTGCTGGCGTTGACTTTAGACACGCTTCTACAGAAATAAGAGCAGCTTTTCAAAATGCAGTCGTCTGTTTAGGAAAAACTAAATGGTGAGATAATATTCACCGTAGAAAGCGGCTGCACGCCGCCGTGTGCTGGAGTGAGAAGTAATATCTCAAAGGTTAAGGGTTTAGACTCGGCGGTACAAACTGCTGCAGAGAGCAGAATCACAGTGGAACAGTGATTGAGAAGCCGGTGGAACCCGGACCAATCCAGCCGGTTCTGTGGTGCTTTGTAATGAGGCCCTCCGTCTGAAGGTGATGGATGGTGAATTAAGGCTGCTGGTGTGGTCGGGCTGCAGAGCCGCAGGCCGAGCGGGAGTCCAGACACGGAGACGATTGACTCTGTTCACACTCCTCCGGGTGGCGAGCTGCTGGAACGAGAGACGTTTCCTTTTGTTCTCACCTCGTGTGACAGTTTCCTCCATCTACTGCCTTTGTCTAGACTAAAGTATTAATCTAGACAATAATCGGCAGCTCTAAACTCACTTATTGAAGCTAACACGGTGGTGAATAATTCAAATACAAATGTTCATTTCGTCCTTTAAGTGGCTTCTACTGAGGGATTTGCTGTCGATGTTATAGAACCTCCAGTTTATCCACTAAACATGAAGTCAAACTTCTTCCCGCCGCACCGTAAATGCTGCACAGTCTGCAAACAACGACACCTGTACTTGATTCTAATCCTCCCCTTGAAGGGCTCTCTGTACATGTGCCCTCAGGATGGATGCTTCTGTGCTCGGAGGTGTAAAACGACACAAATATTTGCATCTAAGTGAAACGGCTCCTACGCGTCCCACTGATCTAGGAGGTGTAATTGCGTCGTTATATTTCATAGCCATCAAGACCTGATTTCAGCTGCTGTCGGGTAAAGCATAATATTTGGCGCTAACTCGTGTCGATCGGCTGCAGCGCTTTTGTAAGACTCTGCACGCCTACCCGGCCCGCTCATTGTAATTCACCCTGTACCAGAGTGTCACTTGAGTGCCTACAGTATGAATAATGTGTGAGAGGGCTCCAGCGCCGCTGCCGCTCGAGCCCTCTTCTCCCGGCATTACTTAACTGTGACCCAGTTCCGTGGACACTGCCGCAGTCTAGTTAACGCTGCACCGTTCCCAGAGCCGCATTAGCTGGAGCGGTTGTTTCACGCCAGAACAACACTCATCATTGTGCAAATGTCTGACACCTACGCTGACGGAGAGATTGCTCGTGTCAGAGTGTTTTTTTTAAAGGCACTATTAAATATTGTAGACGTTGTCTGTTTTCACAGTTTGGGGGAGGTGGATGCTTGAGCTCAGCTGCAAGGTTATTTATGATTGTTATCCTAAGAGGTGAATATCGGGTAGAAAAATGCGTGCACATCGAGGTGTTTCTGAACCCAATCTTTCATGTGGGTGCATGGTTATGTGGTTTGGAAGTCACCCTCTAATGTTGGCCCTCAGGCAGGTATCGCGCGAGTGTTGAGACGCCGTCTCTCGGGACGTGATTGTGAGGCGGCACCGTCTCTTTATCAAGTTCTCTGAATACGTTGCCCTATTTTATTTTATTACATTGTGCACCTCTGTGTATCTACAGTGTGTGTATACTGTGTTTTTATTGTTTAAACTGGTTCATGTCATCATAAATTGAAAATCTTTCAGTTTTTTTGCAGTTCATTTGTCACAATTAACATGTCCGTCACGTCCTTATCCGTTTGTTTTTCTTCAGGAGCACATTCTGCCTAAACCCCGAGCCTATTACCGCATCGACCAGTCGGCGGAGCCCGACGTGTGGCTGGACGCCGTGCAGGTCTGGGAGGTGAAGTGCGCCGACCTGTCGCTGTCGCCCGTCTACAAGGCCGCCATGGGACTGGTCAGTTCAGCCCGTTTTATCCCGCCTCCCCTCGCGTGTCTCCGGTGGTAGAATCCCGCTCGTCGTGGTCTGTCGCCCACAGTGAAAAGTCACAATTAGCGCCTCTTAATTGAGTTATTAAGAAACAGTTGTACAAGATGCTGGGTTTAATGGAACAGATTCTTGTTTATGACCCGCTGCACATTCGACTCACAGTCCCACAGAGCTCAGAACATGAACAGTTCTACTCACTGTGACCGTAGTTCAAGCAAAAGGGCACCGAGATGGACGGACTCTTATCCATCTGAACACACAAAACATTTTGCTCATTTTTACTGTTTTTAGGTAAAAAATATAATCACGGTTTAAAGGTGTGAGGTGTTTCACTTCATTGTAAATATACAACTTGATGTGAGATAAGTGGACCAGTTTTAACCAGATAAGATTATTATTATTATTATTATTCAGATGATGAGTAGTATCTACGATGAGCATTTTGTTGACCTCCAGGTTAGGTTTTAGATCATTTTTATGGCTCTAAACGTCTTTTCCCTCCAGTCGTCGGTGGAAACAATGTTCACTCCAGAAGTCAACACTTCACATCATCTCCACAATTATACCAAACAATTCACAATTAATCACAATTTGCTCATCAGGCCCCTCTTTTTAAGAGCGGCTTTAACCGATTAGTGTGTGTGTCGCTCTCAGCCAACGTGTCAAGTCAGCACATTTTTGGCTGTAATGAGGCTGTTTTAAGCCCACAGCTGCTGCCAGTTCCCCCTAAAACTTCATAACGCTTCACTGATTAGTTTGGTTATTGTTCTGTGGTTATTTGACACCTCCAGCATTCTTATAACATGTACTTTATTTATTAATCACATTCAGCATTTTATCCTTCAGGTTATTTAAAAGAAGGGATAAATGTAATGAGTCCATAGTTAAAGGTAATCAGAGAATTTAAGAGGCGATTAATTGAAGTAGGACAAGAGGTTAAAAACAAATTGGGATTCAACCTTTGGTGTTTTGAACCAGTAGGGATTTAAAAGCTCTCAGAAGGTAATAAATACGTTTAGCGGTTACACTCTGCAGCAGAGTAACAAAGAGGAAAAGCTTGCATGCTTCAGTGGTTTCCTGTCTCTGACTCTGACTGTTTGCCCTCAGGTGGATCCAGAGAAGGGCATTTCTCTGAGGTTCCCCCGCTTCCTTCGGATCAGAGACGACAAGAAGGCCGAGGACGCCACGACTGGAGCTCAGGTACGTCGGCTCACCTGCAGTGGGAGGGGCCTGGTGGGAGGCTGAAGAACAGGGAAGTATCGGAACGTGTGGGATACAAGCATCGAATACCACCTGTAGAGCGTCAGGAGGTCAAACATGTCGGCCATGTTCCATATAAATATACATGACGCCCACCTTCTTCCAATACAAAAACTGGTTTGTATTGTACTTAGTTATGAGGATCACTCATCACGTGACGAGTGGACGATGGGGGAGGATTTGGTGTCAAAGCAAAGCGCCTAATTGCCAGTTTTTCGGATTCAAACCCAATGCTAGGAGGGAACTTGTTACCGACAATGAGTCAATCTGTAAACTTCATGCGTGGAGGACGCCAAGGCTCACCGGACACACCGTTAAAGATCAGAGTCCACAGATATGAAGTGTCTTTTACTTCTAACATCTGTGTTGTCGTAAGTTTATTGAGCGTAAAATGGGGGTGAAAGAGCTCCTCAGTGTGGCTCCCCTTCTGTGAACCTGTAGAAATACATTTTTGTGTCCGTTTGACCGCGTTGCTGTGAAGTGCCAACATCATCACGGTCCGCTCACAAGAGCTGTCCTGTAACATTTCACAGGTGAACAGCACTGCAAGGACGAGCGTTTTAAAAATACATTTATATTCTGGCACTGATTCATGTGGTGGCCTCCCGCTGCACGGAGAGCAACGCTATAGAGCAGGCGGGTAAAGTTCTGGAGTCTGGGTAATATATTGTGCGGCATTCTACAGCCCAGTAGGAGATCAGCTGCACCTTCACTCAACTACCCACCTACGAGCAACGCTGCGATTCTATTCCCCATGAAGCTGATGAATGATTTCAGATGTGTTATTCGCTGCTCTCTAACCCGCGTGCCGACCCACCAGCACATCATTCAACCCGACCGACCTGAAGTACAAGTCGATGCGCATGTCAGTATGTGTCCAAATGTTGACTGGCAATAAGTACTGAAACATGTTCCTGTTCTAACTGCAGCGATTAAATACCTAAAGATGTCCGTTTGTGACCCAAAGTATGAAAAACAATCTATAACTGAAGCAGTGTCAGCAGACACACAAAACGTTTCGCTTTGTTTTCACCGTTCATCACTTTGTCTACGTGTTTGATTCTCTACTAATGAATGTAAGACACGTTCTCCGGCATCGGGAGCTACAAAACTCTGACAACCGAAGCCAGATATCACACAACTGCTGCTCATTGTTTAAAGGCCCCCAGACATCCAGGTAGTATTGTTCTCACCTGGTTCTAAACAGCTGTGACTTTAATAAGGTCTGAATCGTATCATAATGTCAACTTTCACTGACTGGAATAAACAGCCATCTGTCAACCGTGGAGTTGAGATTTGCGCTCGTTACAGCGGGAGTCGGGTCGGAACATCGGCTGCATCTCAATGATGCTTCTATCGGTTCTGTTCCTGACGGGACGCACACGCTCGCTCTCTGGGATTCAGCAGACAGTTTAAAAGACACCTGACCTCATTCAAGTCAGAAGGAATGAAGGAGAACTCTGAGTCTGAATGGGTCGGAATAAATGATTTACCTTTTATCCCGTCTCACTGTTTTCCCTCCTCACTGTGCCTCCCTGCTGCACTGGTACTGATGCTGCTTATTCTGGGTGGATCCCGCTGTTCACACATTATTCATTGTCTCCCCCCCCTCGCTTCAAACCCTGTTGAGCTCAACTGAACACAACCTCCGTCTCCCAGTCAGCAGCTGGGAGTCACCGACTTCAAAGCTCGGGTTATGAATAATCAAACTGTTATTTTTAGCTTTCCCTCTTAATGTTACTGACCTGACTTCATGATCTTCTCCTCTTCCCTACGCTCTCTAACGCAAACCCTTTTTCCCTCCTTCCTTCCTTCCCTCTCTCTCTCTCTTCCTCTATCTCTGTCCATCTCTCTGCAGATTGCTGATTTGTACAAGAAGCAGCAGCAGGTTCAGAATCAGGGGGAGAAAGCCGACCCGGAGGACTACTACTGATCATCTGTATTCATCGGCGGTGAATAACGATGAACCGCAATTTCAAAAATAATTGTAAATAGCTTCTTTCTTTATCTAATGTCGAATGAAAATAAAGGCGCTTGCCAGTTTTAAGCACCCTGTCGTTTTTGTGTTCGTTGATTCATGGAAGCAGAGCCAAAATTGCGTAAACATCTCGCCACGTACTGCGCACATGAATTCCAAAAACTCAAATCGACTCAGTAGTTGGAGCATACCTGCTGGTAATAGATCCCTATCAAAAATTCTCAATGGAAAAAAAAAAAAAAAAAAGCCAAGCAAAACTCTTAACTGTACGGGTGGCATACCAATATCTTCAGCGGGCCCGGTTCCTGCTCAAGCACTCAGGAGGCGGTGGCGGCAAAGTGCATTGGGCGCGTGCGGTGATCGGAGGACAAGCCGAGCAGATTGCCGGCTGCCCCGAAACGTCATTAGAAGTAGAAAAAGACGCAGGAGCTGACAGTCGCTCAAACAGCAGGACAAAAGAGAGGCACTCACAGCTCGCATTAGATGATGGAAATCCACTAACCGTCCAGCCTGAATCAATCAGGGGGGGGGGGGGGTCGGATTGAGAGCCAAGGACAGCCGGTTATTACATGAGAGGACCGTGAGGGTTTTCTGCACGGTGATGCCATGCGGGAGGATGTGAGTGAGCTTTTGCGGAATGGTCACGTGGACAAAAGCGCAGACGCATCATTTGTTGACATTTCTGCAACAATTGCATTTTTTGGCAATTGTAAATAATTTGTTCTGCATGCGAAAAAACTGCATGCTTTGAGCCCCGAACTGCGTGAGATTAGCATAAAGCCGGCATGTCTGTAAAGGAGGAGACTCATTTTCATTGAGATATCGTGCTGTCCTTGATCGGTTAGTTTGTTATTGTGTGACTTGGATGAATCCGAAGTAGCCGTTTATGGCACCAAACTAACCGATCGAGGCAACGGTAGACCAGCAACTCCACTATCTGTGAGACTGTTTCTGTCAACGGAGTCTGGTGACTTTGAAAACAGCACAGATAACTGCTTCAGTTCCTCGTCGGAAAGAGTAAAGTAGTTGAAATATTGTCAATATAGCGCACACGTGAACTGATATTGATTATTTTTAGGTGGCTAAAATCCCTTTTGCTGCTGCGCCCATCCACAGCAGCACATTGCTTTGCTCCCGTGTCCGTTTCTCTAAACTGGGGGCGTGGTTACCGCCATCTGTGGATAATACACCGACTCGGCTTAAGTACCTCAAACAACTCCACTTTAAAAAAAAGTCCAAACCATCCCTTTAAGTACCGCCTCAAAGAGCCGCTGTTAAGGCTGTGGCATTTGATCCGTGTGGGATGTGGACCCGCTCATCAGTAATGCAACGCGCCACTGCAGCAGCAGGAAGCTGCGCTGAACCCAATGAGATGCAGGGAAGTGAATTGTAACTGTCGGTGGGACGGCATTCTTGTGGCTGCAGGGAGGCATGCTGTACAACAAGTGGGGCACTTTACAGCACCGTCTGCAGGATATTTGCATGTAAATGTCGGCCAGTTCTGGGGTGACACACACTGTATGTGGCATGTCACTGTTTCCATGCAGATGCACATGCAGAGCGGTTTGTATTTCCTCTGCTGGAGTGCTCGTGCGTGCGTGCGTGCGTACGTGCGTGCGTGCGTGCGTGCGTGCGTGCGTGCGTGCGTGCGTGCGTGCGTGCGTGCGTGCGTGCGTGCGTGCGTGGTTTGAGAAGGACACCATTGTGGTACAGTAATAATGGAAATTCCAAATCCAGATCTGCCTGCCCTTTCTATCCACCACTGTTGTTGTGTTCCATTCTCTTTATTGTTTTTAATCCATATTAATTCACTTCCCCGTGAAGATTTAAAGGTGTTTTTTCCCACCGGTTTGCTCTTGAAACATGTCTTTTCTCCTGCGGGCTACTTTGGGTACATCTGACGCTCATCATGAATACCACCATCACATCACATCTCGTCTGAATTTCAAATGGCACTTGTCTGCTGTACTGTCGCTTTAGAAGTTGGCTACAGCGAGTGTGAGCAGGGATGGAAAAAGACCGTATTGGAAATCAAACGGGCAGCAGAGCAATGAAATATTGAAAATGCAAATACTTAATGAATTCAATTCCATATTGTGTGTGTGCGCCGTATGATCCCGGCTTTTTGTTGTGAATTACTCTGAAGGTTGACTGCGGCGAGCGTTGTCTCCTAATTTATATACGTGTGATGGTGTAAGTGGAGAGGAAGTCTCTGGGCACCTTTTGTGTTTTGACGGAGTGCCGGCACGGTACTGTATCCGTTTCCTCTTTTGTGTGTGTGTGCGTGTTTGTTTTTATCACATCTCTGTGAAGATGTGTGTGTGCCTGGTTATCTGCCCGTGTGTGTGTGTGTGTGTGTGCCACTGATGTTTACCGAGGGGGGCAGCTGTAGCACATAACACGCCTGCAGGGCATTGCGGCACAGTGGCCTCCATCTCCAGCGAGGTCCTCGCCTGTGTTCAAACAGCTGTGCTGTTAGTTCACATCAAGTCACCCGCTCACACCCGATCCCGCAGGGGAGGTTGCATTTGCAAACCTTACCTGCTCGCCGCCTCTGTTGAGCTGTCCTTTGCTGCTACATAAGCGGCTGGGGGCTTTGGGGTTGTGGAGTATGATTTATAAAAAGAAGAAGACGCCTCAGAAGTGATCTCTGGTGATGTGACGGATGAAAGGCGAGCTGAAGATGGCTCCTCTGTGCTAAAACTGCCCCTGCTGTGTTCCTCTTAAAAGTTCTAGGAAGTGTCCCCTGAAGCAGCTTTTATGGATTACCTCCACCCGCAAAGACAAAAATGGGGGCATCTATAAAGAATGCCAGGTTTCACCTTTCTCTGTCCTTTTGTGTTCCTCTCCCCCCCCCCCCCCCCCCCCCCACCCTGTTTCTCCCACATAAGCTATCTGTCTTGTTCACAATGCCCCTTTCTCCACCCCGAGAACAATGCGTTTGTTCTCCTCCACCTCCTCCCCATCCCTCTCTCTCTCTGTCCCTCCATCCATTTGTTTGGTGCTCTCTGTGACATCTCTGCCATGCCAGAGCTACGAGGGAGAGAGGGAGGCACAGACCCGGCCATTGTTCCCCCCCCCCCCGGCCGAAGCCACAGAATATCAATAGTGTTTTTCTTGAGCAGGAGGGCCGAGCGTTGGCCAGTAACCTTTCGGATTTGATGATGTCAGGCCCCCTCTTTTTTTAGGCCCCTTTATATGATTTCCCTCGTCCTCCAGTCTCCACTCTTAACGGGGGTATTATGTCCTCAACAGAAGAGGCTGTGCAGTACTGTGTGACTCATCAGGGCTCTTCATCAGCTCAGTTCAACTAGTACAAGTTGTGTGCAGCTGTGCCAACGAGTCCTCCAAGTTAATTGAGAATACATTGTTTGTAAATGCCCTCCGGAGCTCTCTTACAGCGGGAGGACGTCACTCGTCGGTGGCTTCTACTCACTGGTGAAGCTTTGGAGGAGATGGAACTTTATTCATCCTGCAGCAGTTGCAACACGAAGGTAGAAGAGTGCGAATATAAAAATCTTAAGATAACAGGGTTAGGTTTAGGCAGAGAGAGGGGGGGAACACACACACCATGCATTGCGGCTATGAGCGTGCGGCCATTTTCCTTCATAACCACAGACTTTATGAAGTATGGCCGCCGCCTCTGTGACATCATCCGAAGCCGCTGTGAAGCTCAAAGCGGTGTCTGGCTGCCTGGTCTGAATCAAAGTGATGGACTGACCAACAGACCTGCATCTTTGTTGCTCCATCACGTCTTCCTCCTAATAACTCCTCCGTCTGCTACAGGTCTTTGGCACTTCAACGTTAAAAGAAAACGTGCATTTGCTGAAACGGTGAGTCTGTCGTCGGAGGTCTCGACTGTGCTCGTGTGTCGCAGTACAGAAAGCTCATGAGTCGAATGCGTCCACGTTTTTATTAATATTCATGTTTCCTGCAACAAGCTGACTGACCTCTGAACCCCCACAGCCCACACAAGTGGACTCAAGTGCCCCTTCATTGACACCGCCATGTATTCATTTATTTATTTAGTCCTGAGACTATATCTCATTTAAACATGAATCCTTTCATTTTAGGCACGTTTCAGCTTCCCTGAACTGGTCTTCATGCACTCTTTTCATGTCCAGGTGTTACAGCTGACTCAATATCAATATCAATATCAATTTACATTCAAATTTTTATTTATGATTTTCCAAATACCTAAATAGCAAACAGCCCCCCCCCCCTGAGTTTGAAGTACCCCCGCCTGGTTGGGGATCACTGCTCTTGAGATAATACATGTATGCAGACACATTCTGGTCATAATCTTTGTGGCATATGTTTCTCTTCTTTAGATCTTTTTTTAGTCGCCAGGCTTTGAACCGGTGTCCTATTACAAAAACCTCGATGGCTGCATATTTAATCCTGCCTTCTAGCCTCAACTTTTGACAGTTTTCTGGCCAATTGCATCGCCACGGCTCATTTGCCGTATTTGGTTATGGAAATGTTTCGCTTGATTATCCAACCCCCGCAGCAAAACTAGTCGTTTACGAGCCCACTCCGTGATTTGTTTATGATGGTGTTCCCCACTTGTCAGTGCTCCGCTTTGGCCCCACTCCTGAGAGGCCTTGTGCTTAAGGGGGTAAGACTGCAGTGCACTCCATTGGATCGTTGTCGACGGCCATTAGTGTCATGACCTTCGTGTGAACCAGCCTGTGGTGTCCATCTCTTCTGCCCCCCCCCCCCTCTGTCTTAACCGGGCAAGAAACCCTCCAGCCGTCCCGTCTCTCCATTCACAGAAGCCCTCCACATTTCGAAGGAAAAAAAAAGACATTCCCCCTTCTGCACATCTGCCAACGCGGCTGCACTCAGAGCTGTGACAAACACACTCGACATTGCAGAGAAATTCGACATGGATAGAGTTGACAAGAGCCCCTAACATCTACAGCTCGGGATGCTTTCCCAGACTGCGATTATCCCCGGTCTTTTGAATGTTCTCCCCTCTCTCTCTCCTGCCATTGGAAATAATTCCACGTCAAAGAAAATTACAATATTACAAGAAAGATATGCTCTGTAAATTTCTACGGGTGTCTAATGATGCGCCCTCCGCCAAATGCAGCCGAGGCCACCCGTCAACCCGTGAAAACGAGCTTGATGAGTTACGCGGGCAGACGGTTGCGATGGTTTCATTCGCACGGTGGCTGAGGCCGGAGGTACTCTGCGCATTCAGTCACCTCTAATAACACCAATTGATATGAAGCCTTGTCCACCTCAATATCACTAAAGTGCAGCGGAGGACTCGTGTATAATTTAGCAAAAGAATCTCTAACTGGCTGTACGGATTGAGTCTGTTTCTCACTGGTACCTCTCCCCGCTGTATAATTCAGCTGCAGATAAGCGCTCCCTCCCCTACATTAGTGTGCTGTATACCACTGCCAGCTGAAGGAGTGGAGGGGGGGGGGGGGCCTTCGCTCTATATGTGATACAGTTTCTGTCTGCCAAAAGCTGAGCCGCTGCCACCGTCACTCGGAGCTGACGAGTTTCTGGGAGCGTGCCACATTCTGCACCTGCCAGGCTCATAAAGAACCCCCCTGTTTCTCTGGGGCCTGAAGGCAGGATCTGCCATAATTGTTAAGGATGTCGCGATTTAGACGTTGGAGCCAAAGCTTAGACAGCCGAGGCCGCCAACAAGTTGGCAGATGGTCCATTTTTGTTCAGTTGATCCGTCAGCGCGGGTATTTGAGGTGTTAAGATGAATGAGCGGGAGCGGATTTTTCACAAGTGGCGAGGAATGTTTTACGCCGCGGCCTCAAATTGTAAGCAAGTATGCGATCCCGCCGCTAAATGCTCGTCTCGGGCCAAGGGCCCGCTTCTTGCAAGAGGAGATCCTGGATAAGTAGGCCCAATAAAATGACAAAGTGAAGTGGACAACCTTGTCGAGTTCCTCCTTGTCTTTCGCTCTCATCATATATGCATTTTGGGGGGTTTGGGGTTGGGAGGGGTCCGATCGCGAACTGTTATGGTTTGCACTTCACGTTGGGAATGAGAGCATCCAGCTTGTGTGTTTGCTGACTGCTGGAGGAGTACCGCGGCCCATTCATTTGTGCATGTATTCACTATTACGATGCCAGCGGCTAAACAGATGCATATTTATAACATGTGGCAGGATGATGGAATGAGACCTTTTAGAAAATGAGGCCTCTGCTGAAATTCCTCTGCAGCTCGTCTCACCGTCTCCCCGCGTCCTGCCTCTGGATCCGTCTAGCGCCTCTTGTCCTGTCCTCATATCAACCCATCTATATATAGCAGGTCTCTCCCCGCTCGCTTGCTGTCTGCGTTACTGGAAAAGCGAGGAGTGGGCGATGCATTTTTGAATACACTGCTTTGTCCCAAAAGCAGGCGGGGAGAAAGAAAAGGGAGAGGAAGAAAGCGCCATTGACAGACGGGCGTACACCAGTCGGGCCCTGTCTCCCTCTCTCCCCATTGTCTCCAAGTGCTCGACGTCAGCAAACGACAGGAATCTGGAGAGAGGGAGGACGGAGAGCAAAGAGTCGGGGCTTTGTTTGGGGCCCCCGCTGGCCTCTGACCCCGGTGAAAGTGCTTGGAGAGGGGACAGAGGAGAGAGCACTGGGCTGACCCCCCTTCATCCCCTCCTCCTTCACTGTAAACGGGCCGAGACGGCCCCCCACCGCTCCCTGTGTAATATTTACATATGAGTCAATCACATGCAAATTGTCTGCAGATGGTAGTCCCCACGTCTCTCTCACACACACACACACACCTCGCTCGCACCTACATGCGAAGCGTTGATTAGCATTCAGTCACTCTCAATTCAGTCACACCAGGTGAGGGTGTGATCTAGCACACATTACATCCATCGCGGTGTAATGCCGCTCAGGGTTTTGTATATTCGTTCGCACCACTTTGCCCGTTGTTAGCCCTTCCACTTCACAAGATAATGTGCTCGCTTTGTTTCAATGTGGGGCGAAATGGAGAGAAATGGCAGGAGGGGTGGGAGGGAGAGGAGGGGAGGAATGGGCCGGGCCGGGCCTGTGCGAGGGGTGTGGTTGGGTATAAACCAGCGGACAGTGGCTTTTCTGTTGTTGTCCTGTTTTGAAGCCCTCTGTCCTGGCGTCCTTCACCCCTCCACTCCACTCTCTTTCTTTCTCCTCCTTCCACTCACGCTTCCCTCCACAGTGGGACTCTTCCTCGACAGAGACTCCTGTCAGGTCCGCGGCATCAAGTCTTTTGGGAGCTCCGTTGAAGCCTGAAACCATGCTGACGTTTTTGGCGCTGGCGTCGGTTGTCCTCCTGGGAATAGGTAAAAAAAATAAAGAGAGAATCTTCTTTGAACTTTTTTTTTATTGAGGTTTGTTTCATCTATTGAAAAAAGGGGAAGTTGTAGAAATTATCTTTTCGCCGATGCGGGGTTAAAGGTTAAGTGGGGATGTGATGAAGAGGGCCTTTTCTGTGTTTTCTTCTTCAGCGCTTATACCTGAAAACTGATGGAGTTGATAATAAAAAGACTCAATAGGCTTAAGAGGGAACTAATTGATCTTTCTCTGAAATGTAATATCTCACACTGCACTGGCTTAACACTAAACTGAAGCACTTGAATTAATATCTTAACATTTGCTTATTGATTCAATTAAAGAAAACGACATTAAGTCAGCTGTGGAGGACATTGTTCATTCTCAGGTGCGTTATGTTGAGTGTAAATCTGTCCTCTTATGTAGCGGGTGTGTCTCAGCTTGCAAAGTTATAAAGAGTATATTATGACTTTCAAAGGGGGGGAGGGTGGGCGGAGTTTTTGCTCTCGAGCAGACGGCTTTCTGTGCTCACCCTCCTGTCAGATATTTGTCCAAATTTTAATTAGAAACGTCAAGCGAGATTTCATTGACAGGTTTTGCTGGCTGCACTAACGGCGTTCGCTCAAGGACGCTGGCAGTGAGAGCCGTGAGCTCTCCTCTCCTCCCCGGGTGCTGAAGGAGAGGCAGCTCAAAGCCCCGCGACACTTCAGGGGCATCAGTGTTGATGTAGCCGCGAGCTACACCGAGACGCGCGGTGGCCCGTTCACACGATCCGAGTGAAAGTGAACAATACAAAACAAAAACCCGTTGGAGTGGCAGGTCTGTGCAGCTCCCAGGGGGGCTTTGGTGGTTGTTTGAGATGCCGAGTGCGTGTTTCGAGGGAAGTAAAATATTGATTTTGCGGCCAAAACCAAATTAACATCGATCATTAGATATTATTCAAGCATAAACAGCGCACACGATTAAGCCAACGTAATCCATATTAATGGAGAAAATGATGTTCCCCTTTGACTTTGAGAGACGGGCACCAATATTCCAGTAATAATCCAAATATTTACTGAGTGCATGTGTGAATCAATGGTGGGTCTGACACCACTAAATGTGCAGTTTAACAGTGTGTGGGTGGGTGTGGGTGGGTGCATACCTAAGTATTTGGGGATTTATTTGGCAGATTTCAGGGAGAAAAGTAATATGATAATACCTCATCATTACATATGGAGTGGAAAAAGAAGAAATGCCAGTGTATTTAGATCAAACATATATCAGAACAAGGATAAATGTCCATCGGTGTGTTTTTTTTTGTCCCCTCATGTAGACAACCGTGCACAGATGGTTTTGGTTGTTCACAAACTTGCTTTCTTCCAACAAAAATCTTTTGCAGTTTGCAATTATAATCACTGTGCTGCAAATTCTAGTCTAGACTACGCAGAATACATCAAATATTGAACTAAAAACAGGAGCGTGAGTGTTTGAATCTCGCTGCATGTTTATTTGTGCATGACTCCACATGCTTTGTGTCTCCCAGTGCCTGAGCAGTCCCAGGCCATAGTGATTTACACCGGCTGGGAGCGCCACGCCCTGCTGGGCTCCGACGTCCGGCTGTCCTGCTCCTTCTTCTCCTGGCGCTGGACCTCGGAGGACGTCACCTTCTCCTGGACCTACAGGCCCGATGGCTCCCGGGACAGCATCTCTGTAAGGCACAGATTCACACGCACAAACGCCAGCCCGCCTATTGATAACCGTGGTACTTAACAGAGGCGTACTGTCGGGTGATGATGCCCTCATCCTGCAAAGAAAATAATACGCAACAGTTGGTCACAGTGAAGCCACCTGTAGCAATCGCTAAATCTCTATAAAATCAGACGCATCCATTTTAAAGCTGCACTTGATGAGATTGTCATGGAGCAAACTTAATGTAAGCTCCTCTAAAAGTTCATGTTTAAGCTCATTGTCTTGTTTTTTACAGCCCGCAGCTTCTCTGTTTTTATCCGCTCTCATGCCCTCATCATGCGTGGCTTTCATCCGCAGCTGTTTTCTGTTAAAAAGCTCTGATTGACCCACCTGCTCAGCACCAAGCAGACAGATAACGTCAGCCACTAGTTGGTGAACATAGTGGAAGATATTCATCATTAGGATGGTCGATGGTTTCCTCCTTATTATCCTAAATGAAATTCTGTTGTTATGTACTTCCTCCTGACGTTTTTCACATTCAAGAAGAAAATACAAAAGAAAATGCAGACTTGTCAACAACGGCTGCGTCTTCTGCGAAAAAAGAAAACCAACCTGTTATTATTTCCACCCTCTCCGCCCCTACCAGGCACGAAGAGGAGCAGAACAGTAGTCAGAGGAGGGGGCGGTGAGCTGATGACGCATCATGCCGTGATTTTCGGATAGAGAACTCCATGCAAACTATATCGTGCAAACTTCTGTGCGGCGTTAATATCAGGTTCTGTGTGATTTCACCAAGGCTGATCATTTACGCTCCCGGATTCATGAATTTTGAGTAATTTCTAGGGCTCTCTAACAGAACAGGAGACTTGCAAATCATCATGAATCCCGGTTTAATCCGACAAACACAGGACTGTGTGAACGTCTGAAATGTCATCACACACTCGAGCGATACCCAATTTTCTTTTCTGACGCACAAGTGCAGGAGATGTGTATTAACTTGGAGAAGGAAACAACAAGTGCACAGAAACTTTCTCTCCGACATGTAATCCTCCCGCTCCTCTCGCTGCCTCGCCCGCCTCCTGCTCTTTAATTTCACTCTCCCTGCCCTTATCGTCCCGCCATCTCCCTAATCTCTCTATCTCCCCGTCCTGACTGTGCCTCCCTCTGTCCACTCTTAATCTCCTCCTCCACAGCCCGGCCTTCTTTGTCCCTCCCCTCCTCTCTCATTACCTCTTCCCCTCACCTCCATCGCTTTCATCCGTCTCCCGCTGTGCCCTCACTTTGAAACCAGATTTCTCTTCTTTTTTTTTTTCCCCACCACTTATCTTGTGTCGCTCATTTCTCTACCCGTCGGGACGGATTTACGGTTTCATATATCTGTCTGTTTTCATGGTGCATTTGTCCTTTTTAAAATGTCGTATTTGATTCCTGGCATGTTCATATCATTATGAAAGGCTGTGTGTAATTCAGCTGTGGCTCATGTAGGCCTCCAACCTTCAATCAGAAGTGTGCTGGACATTTCAAATAATCGTTTACCAAAACGTCAACCGAATTTGACCTCGTAGACTTTGACCTTACCATAGACTGTATATAAGAAGTGGACGTAGTCACCGTGACGTCACCCATTGGTTTGTAGACTACGGTTTTAAGGCCCCAAGTCGCCATTGTGTGTTTTTCTGCAACCAGAAGTGTCATGAAAGGGTGGAGCGCTGAATGAGATGTTCTATGGCAACAGAAAAAACACACTGCGAAAGGTTTAAAGGTCTAAAACAAAATCATAGACAGACCGGACAATCCTGTGATAGAGACCTGTCAATCACAAGGTAGCCCCGCCCTAAAGCATACTCTGCTTTATGGTCTATTTGACTCTAAATAGACCATAATTTACTAAATGAACATCATGCTGTATTGAAGAAGACTTGAAACTAGAGATTGAGACCATAAACTCATGTTTGCAATGTTTACTGAGGTAATAAATCAAGAGAGAAGCAGAGTCATTTTGTCATAGACTTCTATACAACCAGAGGAGTCGCCCCCTGATGGTCATTAGAGAGAATGCAAGTTTACGTTACTTCCTCATTCACTCAGACCTGGAGGGTGCAGACTGACCCCTGCTCACCCCAGTTGTGCCCCTCTGCCTATTTCCCTTAAAATTAATTAGCTTTGTTTTGTCCGTCATCTCTTAAGACTTTTGGTCGGGCTGGGCATCGTTCACAACTTGTCAATACTAGTGTTGATAGTCCTGACTTTCGGAATAACACTAAAACAATATTCTTTCCGTCAACTCACGTTTAGAAATATAACGTTTTACATATTGTTTTTCCATCATTAGTGTTAGATTAAGTCTAAACTCAAGCAGCCAGTTAATAACTTATTTTATAACGATGTTTTATATTTAGATAATATCAAATGAGTGTGATGTGAAAGTTGTTGCTCTTCATGTCACAGAGAATCATCATGTCACCAGCTCTAAGAAGTGTTTTTAGCTCATTGTTTTGGTTTTCCAGCCCACGACTTCACTGCTTTGTGTCTCTCTTTGTGCTCTCACAGCTTCAGTTTCAGCTGCACAAAGACTCTTTCTGTACTCATGATCCTGTACATAACTTTAAAATATGAATCACTACAGGCTGTAGCAACCTATGCGCCTCCAGAACAGAAGCAGCATTGACCTAAAATGCAAAAATACTTCAAGATATAACAACCACAGAAACACACACATTAAATGCCTTTATGGTGACACCACATGCATAAACGATACAATGCTCGCTCTGTCCTGCTGCAGATCTTCCACTACACCAGTGGTATGGCCTATGTGGACAACAAGGGCCCCTTCAGGGACCGCGTGGAGTTTGTGGGGAACCCGGGCCGCCGTGACGGCTCCATCCTGATCAAGAACCTGGACTACAACGACAACGGCACCTTCACCTGCGACGCCAAGAACCCCCCTGACATCGTGGGCCGGCCCTCCAGCGTCCGCCTGCTGGTCTTTGAGAAGGGTGAGATGGGAGTGAGGGGGGAGGAGGAGGGGGGGGGGGGGTTCCTCAACAAAATCAAATTCCCCGGGATGTAAAGTCTAATTCCCGCATTGTCTTACATCTGTGTCTGCTCATTAGCTTTCCACTGAGCCCATATGGCATATTTTGGTGAGTTTTCCTCAACAGAAGCTAACTGTTCAACAACCAATTGTTATTATAATCATTCCAAACTCTGAAATGAATCCCACTTTGCGCTGTGCATCAGACTAAAGCCAGTACTGTGTTCAGACCGGTCGGCGCACTGCCTCGCTTAGAATTCCTCGCACCAGTGGAATCAATTACAATTTTATCTCTTTCTCCGTTTGAGATCGCTATCGCTGCCTCACTTTCACTTCTTTTCTCCCCCTCCTTCTTGCCTCCTCTTCCCCATTTCTCTTCCCCCACCCTCCTCCTCCATGACTCCTTACTCTCACCTTTTATTCTACCTTTCCTCCCCTCCTCTTCCTCCTCTGTATCTCTACTGCACTTGTATTCTCCACTTTCATTCAACCTTTATTTTACCTTTTCAATCCTTGTCTATTTTACTTTAATCTCTCGTTCCTTTTCCATCTAACTTTGTTCCTCGTCTTCCTCTGCGGTCCTTTTCCTCCCTCTTATGACATCTTCTTCCTGTCCCTCTGAACACTCCAAACCTCTCTTTGTCACTTCCTCCTCTTCACCCTCTGCTCTACCTTCTAACACCCCCTCCTCTTTCTCTTCTCCTCTCCCCCCGCCCACAGTGCCCATCCAGGCCGGAGTGATCACGGGGTCCATCATCGGGGTGGTGCTGGGCCTGCTGGTGCTCGTCGTGGTCATCTACTACCTGATGAGGTTCCTGGTGGCGCGCCGCGTCTTCAGCCTCAGTGTCAGGTCAGTGCCCGGCCCGTGGCCGGCGGTGCTCTGCCAGTCGGTCTTGTGCCACGGACGGGAGATGAGCCCGGAGCCCATCCCTGGCACCGACACCTGCGTGGCCAAGCTAGCATAGCCGCCATGCCACCATTCTCATTTAGTTAGGTGTTCTAGGTTTAGATTGGAAGTTAGTCGGCTGGAAAGAGACGGATAATGATCTCTCATTTAGATTTAATCTAAAAAATAAAGCATACGTCCAAAGCAAGATGATTAAAAGTAGTGAAGCGAAAGATCCAGAGTGGATAATCCACCCGATCATGAAGATGATGGGATCCATCATCTTGCTTATACCTTTCCAATCTTCTGAGATCTTAACGCGTCTAGCGCCTGGGGACTGTGTTGGAGACGGGGGGGCCAGTAGATTAAGTCGATGTTGTGATGGCTGCCTGGGAATGCTGCCCCATGACCGCTGGAGGGAGAGATAGATTCGACATCCTGACATTGTCTTTCTTTTGTCCCCTCCAGCAAACATGGCAAGAAAAAGAAAGAGGGATCACAGCAGAGACAGGCAAGTTCTCTCCGCTCCCTTCCTGAACCCATCCCCTCTTCTTCCTCCTCCTCCTCCTCTTCCTCCTCCTCTGTCTCCTTTTCCTTGACACGCTCCATCACATGTACACGTCCATCCGACAACAGCTCGGTTTTCTGTCACATTCGTGCACTAAATACTAAAACGACGTCCTTTTTTGGAGCGATTACAATAATTCAGCGTTAGACACGTGCTGTCAGAAGGAATATTCATCCATTCTGTTGCAGAGCAGCCACACAATTGCATGCATCCAACATGACAGTGCATAACGGCACAGTGTTTTTATAATCCAGTCTAAGCAGCTCCAATATGTCTGCACACTTGACTCCTCCTCAAAACACACACATCAACAACAAAACCACACTTCATTCAAACTCTAATAACTGTGTTCAAGCTGTTAGAATTCTAGTGCCGCCTCATCGTTGGAGGAGCTTTAAAACCGGTGCCGTCCTTCCTCCAATCTCTCTCTCTCTCTCTCTCTCTTCCTGGTGGCCCTCACCCCTCCTTCGGCTCCCTCAGGGGGGCCAAACATCGCGGCGCGAGTAAACAGCCACGGGGCAAAAAAAATCAAACTACTGTGAAATGGCCGAGCAATGCTGTTGCTTGTATTGAATGGGAGTGTGATTTGCTCGCAGTGGGGAGAGGGACGGGAACTGCTGATTTCGCTCACTGGGAGTCAAATGAAAATCACTGGGCCTATTATGGTCTGGGCTGTTAGCGGTGGGTTTACACTGCTGCGCGCCAAGGATTTGGGATGCCCCCCCCCCCCTCTCTTCCTCATGGGAGAGCGATAGCCTCAAGTGGTGGATTAATCAGACATTTTGGTGGCTTGTATTCCTTTGTAAATACAAGGCACCAGGGCAAGTCGTGTTTGATTACTCTGTGGTAATGCGGGGCCTGGATGGTTGCGGGGGTGTATTGTAATCGACTGCACGCCTTTGCCTGCTGATAATGGAGGAAAAAAAAAGAAAAAAAGGAAGTCAAGGGATTTGGGTTCGAAGCGTTTTTTCTGAATCAAAAAATCTTTGAAATGAGAGACACGCAAACAGGAGATCAGAAGCGTTTTTTTGTGACAGCGTGTCGTTTAGCCGCCGGTATGAGCTAATGTGATGACGAGCGCTCCTGTGGCATAAACCCAGAGGGCGACACCGGCGAGGGGCCAACCCTTCCCTCCGGCCTCCAAGAAGTGCGTTCAGTCGCATCTTCCTCCCTCTTCCTCCCCCTGTCTTCTTCTTTCCTTTTTACTGTCGTGTGACTGTCGGGTTACTCTGGAGCTGCAGTCTGTTGCTCTCAAGTGCCTGCGGTGGGTGACGGTGCATATATGAATAAATAACTCGCCGCCAAAAGGACACTGGGATATTTGACAATGTTGTCATTTACAGTTACTCCTCCTGCGAGTCGTGGAAGAACAATCTTCCATCTGAGCTCACACTGCCTTATTTTATTTGTATCCTTTTTATTTATTTATTTTTTACCCTCACAGCTGATTCCTCCCTTGTACTGTAGCTTCGCCGCACACCGAGGGCTCGTGGGATTTCACAGCGCGCTCATAAGTGGTTGTTTGATCAAATAGCTCTTATTAGGAGGCTCTGCTGACACGACACTATTTCATTTTTTTTGTATCGGCCTCACCATCTTCGTTACTTTCAGCTTGCTGGGCTTGCACTACAAATCTCCAAAAGGGCTGTGCGTGAGGGAGACAGAGAGACAAAGGAACCGTGTGGTGTGTGCTACTCCCCATTAGGTGGAGTTGTGGGAGAGGAGTTCACCCCCGCAGCCACACACACACACACACACACACACACACACACATACGGAAGCTCACACACACACACACTGTACCGGAATGATAATTGAGTGCACTCTGTATCGATCAGAGCTCACACACACACACACACACACTGTACTGGAATGATAATTGAGTGCACTCTGTATCGATCAGAGCTCACACACACACACAAGCCACCCATTCTTCTTTCCATCCCCCGATTGCCTCCCCTCCCTTCCCTACCTTACTTCACTATACTTCCACTCCCTCCTTCGCTCTCTCATTCACATTCCTTTCATCCCGTCCCCAGTCTCCCTCCCCCTCTTCAGTCGCATCCTCCTCCTCCTCCTCCTCCTCCTCTCCCTTCCTTGCTGACCATGAGAAGCATCTATCTGTCTGTTATTCCCCCTGTCCTCTTCCCTTTCCCCTCCCTCACCCTCCTCCCCACCACCACCACCATCACATCACTCCCTTCCCAGTCTCTCTCCCTCCTCAGGTGTCCGGGGTTCTGATCATCCCCGGTTCTGGACAGAAAATCACTACCTCTCACTCTTCATCCACCTCTCAATCTCCTCTGCTCACCTGTCAGCGTCTCTCTTTAGTATGCAGCAGGGGACGCAGCCACTTACCTTCCCAAACCACCTCCCCACCAGTCCCTCCTGTTTTGCCACTGTACACTCCTTTTGAAGTGTGTGCAGCCCCTGCAGCGATGGGGGGGGGGGGGGCTCTGCACTCTGCCTAAGCAGGAGGAGCTCGAGTGTGTTTACAAGGCAGCCCCGTCATTAGCGTGGGGAGCTCTGCAACACAGCAGCAACTGAGCCTACCGTGGGATGCATAATGGTAAACAATACGATGATGTATGAGAGGATGGAAGTGTGAGCGAAGGTAATGACACCGGATGGGCTGCGCGGCTGCCCCCGTCGAGACGGATGCTAGCTGCGGCGTGCGCCTGGGCTGTCGTCCTATCGGCGCGCGTGCTGCTTTGGCTCAGTGCGTGATTAAAGATGATGCATTTTCTAATGCAATCAGTGGGGGGGTTATTAGTGGAGGCTTCAGTGGCTGGGAGCAGCCTCTAGCGTGCTTTCCACCATTGACTAACCTGATGTGTCTCCAAACGCTCAGATCCAGCATGCTCTCTATTCACTGTCCTCCGTTGTCACACTTTAAAACAGTGTACTGGTTTCATTAGGCCCCATCAGAGTATTATCGTGCACTTATCATACTTTTCAATAGGTTAACTCGCAGGTTAATGCGCTGGAATACAGCTGTTGTAAAGTTAAGTTATACCTTGACCTTATCTCCACTCTGTCCTGTCCTCCCTGATGGATTTGTTGTGCTTAAATGAAGCTTCACTTTACTTCCTTCCTCCTCCCCTTCATCGATTTCTTCTTAGAGATGTTTTTGGACGTTGCATGAACAATATACAGAATGAGTGGGAGTGAATGGGTGAATTATATAAGAACAAGTAAGATGTACGGAGGCTGAATGTGGCCCTTCAGATCCATCACCAAGGCTACAGCAAAATGCTCTATAACGGATTATCATTATTCCACTGTCATCTTTAATTATTCACTAAATATCCCATTTATATGATTTGTGAACAAATAATTCATGTCCAGGTATCGTTCCCCTCTCTGAACGGGACGGGTCACGGTAGTGAAGTGCAGCTTTCGTTTTCATGTAGATGTTAGCGTTAACATTTTATCCCAGTGTGTTGACTCACAGGACAGTCAGCATTTACAGCAGGTTGAAATGAGGTGAATACAGAACGAGCTGCGAGAGACGCAACGTCTTTTCTCTTTCAAGACGGCGCATCTTCCTGCATTTAGTCAGCTCTGCACAAAAACACAGGAAGGAGAGAAAAGCAAACATAATCTGAATAATGATGACACAATCGTTAGTACGAGGTTAAAGAATAAACTTAAAGTGAGGGCGACTTCGTTTCAAAAAGGGCCGTAGTGTTAAATCAGTAAACAGCCTTTTAATGACTTTATGTAACTCATTACACACTGAAATATAGTAATTCAAATCACGTTCAAACAACAATTAAAATGGAACCTAGTTGTCTAAAACTCACTTTTTAAGCCAAAGTTATTAACGGTTTTAACATTTTTTCATACAAATTGCTTAATCGTCAAATCCCAATAAGAGCCCAATGTGGTATGCACTCTGTGTGTGTGTGTGTGTGTGTGTGTGTGTGTGTGTGTGTGTGTGTGTTATTGATCAATTGTCACTCAGGTGTCACAGGTGGATGGAGCCCGTCTGCCACTGTGTCCCATCCTAACGCATGGTTACCTGTTTTGTCACCCCCTTACAGCTCTGGACACCGCCCCCCCTCACTTGCTACCCCCTCCCCTAAAAGGACTGTCTCTCTACCTCCTCACCCCTTTCCGTCTCTCTCTCTCTCTCTCTCTCTGTCTCTCTCTCTGCATGTCCTCCTAAATGTGGTTTTTTTCTGTCCTCTTCACACAGCTCCACCTGCTAACTTCATCTCTCATCCTCTCATCTCTAACGCACCCATCTCACCCCTCCTTCCGTCCGTCCTTGCCCCCCCACCCCCCCCCCCCCCCCCCCCCCCCCACGCTCCTTTCCTCCTGAAGTGACTCTCCTTCCCTGTTCTCCCCCGACCCCCTCTCCCACCTCCCCCCACAGGGCCCCGTGCCTCCCGCCGACCCCTCCAAGGTGAAGGCGGCTGCCTCGGAAAAGAAGAAACAGGAGTCACGCAAGGATAAGAAATAGGATGCGGGGTTGGGTTGGAGCGGGCTCGCCAGCCGCCTGCTTCAGCCCGTCCACCTGGCGGTGTTCAAGGCCCAGCCCAAGCAGCAGCAGCAGCAGAGAACCGTAGCCAGGAAGACAGAGAGGGAGGAGGGAGGAGGGGAGGAGGGCCGGGTGCTGATGACCATCGAGCTGGAGCTGACCCGCAAAAATGGGGAGGAGAGGCCCGGCGGCGAGGGAGGGATAGGGAGGTCCAAACCGCTTGGCTTCCTCTCCCGCCTCGCTAACCGGCTCACATTCAAAGAATAAAACAACTGGGAGGCAGGGGGAGAGGGGGGAGGGGGGAGGGAGCCGGGAAAAGTCTACCGATGAGACAGCAGAACCACAAACCTACTACGCACCCACCGCACCGGCAACCTGAGTCCCTGAATAAATGAGTCAAATCATATCTGCTCTTGCCACAGGCTGATGACTGCAGACGCAGCTCTGTGGGCCGAGATCTGAGATGTCGTGATAATCTCCTACACCAGCCGGCACCCCGAGTACTTTTGTCAGGTCATAAGATATGCCATTTGAAGCGAGACCCTGTAGACGGCTGGGTTTGATAACAAAATCTAAAAAAGCTGCTCCCCGGGTTTTGCCTTTCTGGTTCCTTTCATTGTGATCCTATCCGCCGCAGAAAGAAAAAAAAAAAGCTTTCTCCAAGTGCGTCCGATACGCATCACGAATCCCAAGCTGCGGGGACAAGCCAATTTGCTTTTCCGTAGGCGACGTGTCAAACTCTTAACTTTCTCCCTCCACACTGATCTCCATTCTTTTTCCTTTCCAACACCATCTCTTCCTCTTTCACTGTGAATTTCCTGACTTTCTTGTTAATTCAGATTACAGAAGTGATTTATATGCTAACTGCTCTATCCTCTTTCTCTTCCTCTCTCACTTCCCTTCCCTCTTTTTCTTCTTTCCTTCTCTCTCTCTCTCTTGTAGATAAAGGTCTGACTTCTCCATGACTGTCTCCACTCCTCTAGTCTGCTCCCTCCTATTCTGCCCAGCCTGATGCGACCCCCATTATTTCCCATTATCTCTACTCTTTCAAGACACCACTAGCTGTAAGAATAGTCCGACTATATCGGTGGCAACAACGTCAAATTATTTTGCTACTACGGCTGATTGGAGATCCCCGTATGCACTCATTGGGCAAACTGTAAAACTGTTCAAACCCCTAACAACGCACATAACTTCCTTAAGAGGAACCCAGAAGAATCTCCTGAATCTCCCCCCCCCCCCCCCCCCCCCCTTTCATGTTTACGACTCAATCGCACACACTGAGCGGAGCTGTGAGTGCAGTCTGGACTTCAGATAGAGAGAAGGGGGAGACAGAGATGGAGGGGAGAGTGATAGTGAGAGAGAAATATGATTTCTGCTCTCAGCGTCTATCGGCGTAGATGGAGGTTCGGGCCCTCAAGCTTCGGGGGTGATTCAATCCTCTCACATTTGAGCTAATGGAGGTTGTCGCTGTGTCCCCTGCCCTGGCTAAAGGGGCCTATTTCTGGCACTATAAGAGCGCACAGCCTTACTGTAACAGCTGCACATTTTTCTGATAACAGAGGGAGGGAGGGGAGGAAAAAAATGACAGAGGTGATCAGGAAAGAGGGGGGAGGGGGGGGGGTAGCCTGCTGTGGTGTTTGTGCCTGACTCCGCTTTTGACTCGACGGCCGGCGACTGACGACCTGAAATGACGTCACGGGCCTCGGGAGCCTGACAGAAAGGGGGCTTACCAGCAGGAGGTCTCTGCTCTGTTATTTTAGGTCCAGTTAATCCGCTCACACGTTTCTCCTCTCCAACCCAGGGCTAATTATTTTAGCACGCACTGGTAACAGGATATATCTCTCTCTCCATCTTCCTCTCTCCTCCCTCCCCCTGCTGTCTTCACTCCCTTGTTGTTCACTTCTTTCATCTCTGCCCCCATCTTGGGATTCATCTCCCTCCCTCCGTAGCCCCCTTGTTTCCTTCTCTCCGTCTTCTTTATCTCCTCCTCTTCCCGTCGTTTATAGTCTAGACTCTGCAACGGCATTATTCCCCCCACAGAGAAGAAAAAGGGCCTCTACACAATCCACTCCACTCTTTAAGCCTCTCCTTATCTGACTGCCAGGCCTACAGCGCAATGCTCTGCTCCTCTCTCCGCTCTCTTCTGTCCTCCTCGTCCTTCTTCTTCTCTCTTTCAAACCCGATGACGGACATCTCTCTCCCCTCCCTACGAATTGCCCAATGATCGACGAACGCCCTCTCGCTTGTCCTTGAAAATGCCTCCCCACCCCCCCACAAAGGCATGTCCCCTGCCGGCCCGCCTTCTTCCTCTGACCCTCTACTGTGTTGTTTCTGCTGGTTTCGAATGCCACAGCTCTGTCCTCTGCCCGCCACTGGCGAAGGACAGAAAACACATGGGCCGAAATCCGCCTATAGTTCTCACTGAAGACGCCAAACAGAAACTTATAATCTAGCTAGCTCTCTTCCGGTCGCAAATACGACGCGTGTTTTATGTATATGTGTGTCTAGTTAAGAGTGCTAAAAATGAGATTTGATACAAAGCAAAACAACAACAACAGTATGTCACCCTAAGTAAAGCAAATATTGTTTTCTGAGACATTTTTTACATGTGTACGAGAAAACACGTGGAGAACATGTTTATCGAGGCAGGGAGGAAATGTAATTGTATTCGATGGAATATGTCATATTTCTGACCTCGTGTGTTATGGAAGGTACTGTGTGGCGGTCTCTCTGGTGTACGTTTTATTTCCGAGACGATGGGAAAAGCGAAGTTGTTGTGCGGTGTCGGAGAGAAAATGAAGGGTATAGATAAGGGTTTGGTTAGCCTCCGATTCAGTGCGATGTGGCTGGGGAGTAAGGAGAAAAAAATATATAAGGGGGGGGAGGAAGGTGCTTGCTGTGGGAGATAGCTTTGGAGGAGGAAGAGACTTATCTGGCGTGTTAAACCAAGCCAAAAATCCATATGTATCACCACAGATAGAGTCGGCTCTTCCCCCAGAGCTTTCTTTTAAAGGTGCTCCTTCCCCCAACCCCCGAGCCAAAGACGGATTGCGATCTGCGTGCTTGATATGCAGGGTGGATAGTGTAGACTTGAATGTTCCTTTAAAATTCATAACCGCAATGGAGGTGCTAGAATCCACATATTTATAACTGGAGATCTGTTTCACTAGTCGCTGTTTAGCTGTCCAGTCACATGGATTGGTTAGAATGTTTTTCTTCTTTTGCAGCAAAGCCACACAGACACCTGACATGAGACAAACAGCATTAAAAATGCCTTTTAAAAATGTTTTATATGTATCATGAACTGTATTAGTCAAAGTTGCACAATAACCCTCCTTTATTTGAAACGACTGCCGCTTCTTACATTTTTTTTTTTTTTACATTTATTTTAATGCTTGTGATAATTCCAGAGCACTAACAATTTTTGATGACTCTGTATAATGTGTTGTAAAGAGAACGTAAATAAAAAATTAAAGCCCCAAGCGAGGCTGTTGTCAACAGAAGACAAAGTAAACCCAGCTGGAAATGTCTGCAGTCTACTTTCTTTCACTTCTAGCATTGTGTACGTCTGCCTCGAATGCCTCTGCAGAGATAAACTTTTATGAACTTTTCATAAGAAGAAAATCCTCCTAAAAATGAGATGTCCACCATTTTAAATATTTGAATGCTCTGATGAGCCTTGTTAGCTATCTAAATACATTTGCATACATGATAAGAACATTATAGATGAGTTAGTCTGGAGGTTTTTATTGCTTAACAATGACCTTTTAAATTCAAAAAGGAATTCTGTTTTGATACTAAACTTTGAAACATTTGCTTCATGGCAGCAGGTGAGGAGTAAAATGGTTTCACCTCACCGTGCCCTTTGTTACCCAAAAAATAATGATGATGAACTGAAAATAAATGCTCAGTGACCATTTACAACCTTTTCACATTTTACAGGGTCACAAAATGAGGTGTAATTCAGAACGGCCTAATTTTTTTCTGACTTAATGGGCAGGCTGGGTTCAGAGAGCATACGTAACCTTTTCAGAAAGGCTCCGCTTCATATGCAGACAGTTACACTCGCAGCACAACCACACAGTCTTTATCTGGGGACCAGTGAAACTGCTCATCTGCAGCACCTGAATGACTGACTGAGGGGGTGAAGGCCTGCCAGTGTCTCCTGTGATGCCACCACTTGGAGTCACTGAAGTCAGACATGTTCAAATCTTAAACTTAGGGACTTTGGAGTTACTCCGTGTAGAATTTATGTCATTATAGCGCCTTTTTTTTTTTTAAAGAAATAGTTTGACATTTTTAGGTTAAACATTTGCTTTCTTGGTGAGAGACGGACGAGAAGACTGATATTGCTCGTGTGTGTGTGTGTGTGTGTGTGTGTGTGTGTGTGTGTGTGTGTGTGTGTGTGTGTGTGTGTGTGTGTGTGTGTGTGTGTGTGTGTGTGTGTGTGTGTGTTAAGCTTAGCACTGGAGTCAGTAAGCCTGGTTCCCTCCAAAGTCCAAAAATATGTCTTGCAAAGCTCACTAATTAACATACGGGATCTTCTTTCTTTGTCTTACACTGAAAGAGAAAGGTAAAAATGATCACTTGTGGCTTTAAAAGGGAGCTATGTAGCAATATCTTGACAAACAACAGCCGCAGGCTGCCCAGAGTCTCATCGTCGTCGCCTGGCAACAGCAAATAACTCCCCCCTAAAACCACAACATTTTAAGTCTCTGCATCTGTACAAATGAAACTAGAAAGGTGCACTCAGACGGTCTGAAACAATCAAGAAAATGTTTTTTCAGAAAGTGTGACTCAGCGTCAACAAGAGGTTCTTGATCATCATAAATGAGCACTAAAGGTTTGGGCTGATGGGTCCAGTAGCTCTGCAACATTACTCCTGGAAGAGATGTAAACTAAAGGAGATGGCAGTCAATTGGTGCATCTACTGTATGTGCTGCACAGATATTTACGCTGCATTCAACTTGAACTGGGAAGTCTGAATTTCCCAGTCGTACATTTTAAACTGGAACTCCACTTGAAGTCGGACGAACTCTCCCGAAACCCTGACCTCAAAATCCAAGATGGCCGCCCGGTAAAAAACGAATCTGTTGTAATATGCTGTTTACTATCACTTCCGTCTTACTTGCGTCCGTTCTGCCCAACTCCCCTCTGTTAACATGCTGCGTCGTTATCAACCGATATTGCTAATAATAGCTAACCTGGCTGGAATAAATCCCTATTTTTAAACGTGGTTGTGACGTCATTGGCAGCTCCTAATTATGTTTTTTGAGGTAAGCAGCTATATTTGACTTTGGTAATTTAACCATCAAAATGTTCATCGGTGACATGTTAAAATATGTTGACACGGGACAAGTTGTAAAATACTTACAAGTTGTAAGTATTATCCACCATAAGCTAACGTTACATCATAAATAACAACACCAGACCATGTACACTAAGTAGTTTAGTGTACTGAAGAGTGTACTGTATTGCTTATTAAGGAATGAATTAAGGAATGTGTTATTTCCTCTTTTAAAATCTTTACATTGATATAAGGTAAAGGCATATTAGCATATTAGCTTCCTCCCTCTCTTGCTCCTTGACCCATTGAGGTTACATGACCTGTTTAATTACTTCTCTGGTTTCTGTTATATTTACATTTTTTTCTTATCTCTGTGAAATAAGACACTTTGCATTTTACACCAAGGACATACGCTAAACTCAAGGGATATAAGAACAGTGAAATAAGGAAACAAACATATCCTTGAAAAAAAAAAAAAAAAAACCTTTAGTGAGAGAATCCTTGAAAAGGAGACACGACAGTGGCTCATATACATACATCAGAGAACAGAGCTCATACAGGATTAGAGGCCTTGCAATGTGGGAAGGGGGATATAAACTCTGAAAGCAGTTCGCAACAAGGCATTTGATATTATCTGACACGGGATCCTTCGCTGCATCTGTTTTGTGGGCGCAGCGTTTGATGACCTGCCTTATGTTCTAAATATGTTGGACTTTAAGCTAATCGCTGACTACAAGTCCCTGTGAATTCAAGCAGGAGAAAGTTCATCTTTGAGTATCAATTAGGAAATTATAAAACCGGATTTATTTGCAGAACAGAGGATTCGGTCTGCTCAGAATCAGCTGAATGCCTCCTTCACATTGCTCGAGGGCTAATGTCGGTCCCTCGTTATCAGATTTGTTATAAATACTGTATGTTATGCAGAGTGCAAGGTTTCATTTGTTGTGTTGACGGCAGTGATTGATGGGATGTTGTTCTCTGTGGAACCCTGTGTGTGTGTGTGTGTGTTGTGAGGGGGGTGGGGAACATATTGAGCAGGTGCAGGTACAAACCTAGAAATTCCCACTGTGTGAGAGTATGTGTTTGGTGGTGGTGGGGGGGGCCTGGATGCAGAGAGGCCCTCGGGATAGGAGTGTAGTAGCGGGGAGTTGCATGGCTCAGGTTACCCAGACAGGAGGGAGCAAGTAGTGAGGGAACGAGGGGGGGGTGCCAGGCCCAAAAAAGCCACCAATGTCTTCCACACGTGGGGGCGGGAGGTCTCAGCTGTGGTGTGGTGTGTGTGTGTGAGGGGGGGAGCGCTGTCCTTCACATTGTAACCTGCCGACGTCTGGACATCCAGCATGGGCAGAGGGGTAAGTTCTTTCCATTTAAAACAAACAAAACAAACTTACAGAAATAGTCTGTTTTATTACTCTCAAACCTTTGCTTCCTGTTGTAAGTGAATGGATGAACGTGACTCAGTCTGTGTCCCTGCTGTGGCTTATATGCAGCAACAGCCATATGGCGTGGACATGCATCGTGGAAAACTACTGAGATTTCTAAACGCGTCTGCGGGGCTGGAATTCTCACAATGCTGCTGTTTTTTTTTTCCAAAGACAGTAACGTCTCAAGATGATAGCTTTTCTCCTCAATGGGTTTTGTTCCTGGCTTGCTGTTTATTTGGGTAATTACGTAATTTTGTTTTTATTCTCTCCATCAGGCCCATTCCATTTAGCTTTATGGTAGGACAGGCTGGTAATCTTCCTCGCGCACAGTGGGGGGAAATTGCTATGCCAGACACATTTCAGGCACTCCACCGGCTCTGTGCTCCCTCTTTGGCTCTTTTTGATTACTTTTTCACTGTATCACTCGCTCACACTCTCCTCTCGGTCGCTCCGTGGATCCCTCCTTCACCGACATGCACACGTGCTGTTAAGAGGAGACTGACAGCAGCAGATGATTTCCATGATGCACCATTCTTCCAACTGTTCATGACACACACGCTCTCTCTCTCTCTCTCTCTCTGGCTCGCAGAAACTGAGGAACTCCCACTACGAGAAAAATATTTTCCCCCCCCATATTCAGTGAATGGTTTGCCAACAGTGCCAGGAGATTGAAATGAACCAAGTCCATTGTGCACACACTGATAGCTTGTAATACGTGGCTGTGAATGTAAATAGGTAGGCACAATGTGACTACAAGCATGTGGCTTCTCCCACTCGGGATGATAGACCTGATGTATGGAGATCTCTCTTTTTCACCCCCCCCCCTCTCTCCCCAGAATGGTGCCGAGAGTGGAGGGAAGAAGAAGAGGAAGGAGAGGAACTTGGAAGAGCTGAAGAAGGAAGTGTCCTTGGTAAGAAAAACAAGCTGTCACTGCTCCAGCCCACACTCACTCTGCACGGTGATTGATTCCATCGCTGCTGCTCCCAAATTATGTTACGCCAAAGACACCGGGTTATTTAACAAGGCTTTAAATGAAAACACTGGCCGTAAACAAAAAGGCAATCCGACCTGCTTAGTGTAGTCAGTGCTAGATGAGTTCCAAGCCAGCCTGTCCCCTCCTATCTGTTCTACCACCCTCTGGCTTCTCGTCTTTGTACTTTGAAAGATACTGAATAATTTGTGGGCCACCAGCAGCGTGGTGCAGTGTTTTTGTCTTGTGCAGAGCTGTATCTCTTTGAGGCTCTGTCAAAACGCAGCCAAGGCATGCCCATGAAAACTGGGGTACGTTTTGTTGCGTGCACTCTCTCTGATAAAGCAGCTCTTGTCAATTATCAAGTTGGCCTGTGACTGATTAAAGGAAGAAAAAAAATAAAAGGATGCTATCAACACTTAGGAGTAGTTTTGGGATTAAGTGTTGTGTTTTACTGTCCTCAGTCTGCTTAATGTACTTCTTCAGCTAGTGATTTCCCACATTTTCCCTCCAGAAATCCGTTAAACAACCACCAGACAATGGCTGATCAATATTGTGTGTAGGGACATATAAATAAAGATTAACTAGTGCTGATTGTGGCCAAATTGCTTGCAGCTACATTTTCAGTGTGGTCCTCTGAGGCGATCCTGTTGGCGAAGAAATTGATGGATTTCTCCCTTTCTTATGGGGGAGGGAAGAAAGTATAGCCCTTCAATCTGTGAAGCTGACACCCTCGTGACAGCTGGTAGCTGGAATTTTTTGTCACTACTGTACCAAACTCCATTTTAGCTGCACTGGAAATATCTCAGCATTTGGCCAGTTTGCACAGGAATAACAATATGAAACTGCGATCAAACAACATAATGAACCCCAGAAAAACAACATACGTCGCTGAGCTCTCCTTTTTTAATAGTGAAAAACAGTGTTTCACAGTTTTCAAGGGGTCACATTTTTACTTGTGGAGAACAGACATTTTGCTCACCTCTAGTTCAGCACTGCTTGGAAATGCAGAGGGAGTGGCCATCACTGTTTGACCTCTTTGATCTGACATGGGGAATGAATCATAGATATATATAAAGCCCCTGGATCCATGTCAGAAACAGAGAATAAAGTATTTCTGCAGTAAGATGGAGAAGTGTAACGCATCAGTGCTACGCCCTCACGATGTGACCTTGGTCAGTTATTAAAATTCCCTTTACAGCCGCAGCCACGCGGTTCACACAACATTGAATGCATAACTGTGAAGTCATATGTACAGTTTCCCTTTGATGATGTGTCAAAGACAAATTCCCCTATACATATTTTTAAAGGGCACTTTACATGACGCTGTTTCTGTTTACTGTTTCTGTTCCCTGAAAGCACAAGTAGATAAAGAAACATTTTTTTTCCCCTGCAGGACGACCACAAAATAACTCTTGATGATCTGGGTAAACGCTATGGAGTGGACCTCTCGCAGGTAACGACACACAAGCAGTCTCATTTACACATGCACGCTCGCACACGACAAAGAGCTGCTGTAATATCCCCCCACGGAGACGTAATCTCTGCTCGTCTGTACCGGCGAGCAGCATCCAAACTGAGACCAAACATTACTTTGGTCAAGTTGGATCCACCGCAGCGTCCCCAGCTCACCTTGAGCCTCATTCATCTTTAATCCCTCAATCACACACACACACACACACACACACACACACACACACACACACACACACACACACGTTGATACCACAATCCCATACACAGACAGACACAAGCATATCTTGCACATTTTTATGCTGTAAACACATTTGCTGCTTACCTTACGTTTGACATTGCGGGTGAAATGAAACAGATTTTTTATCTTTTTGAGATAAGTATTTGAAAAAAACTGAAAGAAGACGGGGTGCTCAACAATATCGCCGGCTGTAAAAATGTCAAAAACTTGCTGGATAAAGAGCCAATTTGTGTTTTCCCCCCCAATATAATTAAATTATAGTATTTCAGGTACTTACATGGATTTTCTTTAAATCAGACCGTGACACTATTAGGCATAAAATAGTGACATTTAAAATAAATAAAGGTTATCCAACAGTTTAAAGACATTGAACCTTAGACGAGGAGAGTGACCCGCTTTATTATACTCGTGGTGTTAAATAGGCCACCAGGAATACTTGATGTTCTGCAACTGTAAAATTGCTTTTTAAGCCGTGGTGAAAATGGGGTCGTTGTGTTGTAATAAGATTCACAGCGCATGGAAAAAAATAATAATAATAGACATTCAGTCCTGAAAATGTCTCCCCCTCAGGGCCTGACCAACGCCAGAGCTTTGGAGATTCTGGCCAGGGACGGTCCAAACTGCCTGACCCCTCCCCCCACCACCCCGGAGTGGGTCAAGTTCTGCCGTCAGCTGTTCGGCGGCTTCTCCATCCTGCTCTGGATCGGTGCCATCCTCTGCTTCCTGGCCTACACCATCCAGGTGGCCACGGAGGACGAGGCGCCCAATGACAACGTGAGTGTCTGCTTGTAAAACATGCACGCTCATGTAGGGGCGCACACCTTACATATTAATCACACACGGGGAGTGCTGCAGGTACACAGAGACAGCTACGGTTACAATACAGGTACAGGGGAGACAAATGAAGACAAACCTGTGTGCATCATTACACTGTGTTTTTAAGATGGAGGTTAGAGATACATGGCTGTTTATGCTTATAGATGGGTTCAATATCATAATATTAGTACTAGTATGTTTTCAACATCAAAATATACATTGCGATATGCTAAATATATGCTAAAATTACATACAAAATGAAGAAATCAATATTTCAATGCAATGCACTGTGCTCTAATGTTCTGCATAATTATCAAACAAAACTCTTCACACGTTTAAAACAAATATTTTTTCCTCCTCCTTTATATTCCTCTGAATCAAGGGACGGATTTAAGTTATTCAAGTCGGCCATTGTCAGTTCCTGGGTTGCTGGTATATCTTGATTCATCTCTTAATATTGGCATTTAGGTTGTAGATCAATTTCTCCAATTTGTCTTCCATTTAAGGAGCATCTTTAGAATCCAAAAATATAAGGATCTTTGTAACTTCATGTGCATTCTTATTAGTTTAGCATTTTCTTTGCACTGTCTACCTTAGCTGCTAAAATACAGTGAAGGTGTGAAAACTTGTGCATATTGTACGTGCCAATTTCTGAATAACATTAAATAGATTGAGGAGCGTTTCAGCTCAGCGGGCCTCTTAATAAGTAAATAAATAATGTAGCCTGTGTAATATTGGCTCCTAAGAAAGATTAATCTTCCAAGATAAACAAATCTGAAATAAAATATTTGTTGTTAATTATATTTTCTGTGGAGGCGTTATCAAAAACAGAGTTTTTGTCAAATGATAACATCATATAAAGACAATATCATAATTACACTGAACGTCAAGAAATGGGAAGATATTTCATAGCCCGACACATATTAAAACACATATTTTGAATATTATACATATTAATGCGCTAACTTAAAGGGGAACTAGCCTGGGTCCTATTCCCCATGTCTTTGTGTGTAAGTGACTAATGGGGACATCAAGTTTGGAAATTGGTCCAGTATTGAGCTGCAATGTAGTTCCTCACCGTCAATATTCTTATTTTTGACATGTGACAGGCTCAGCCTGTTATTATAAGTGTCCAGGACATTATGGAAAGCACCCAACAGAGATATAAAACATTTTCTCTTCAACTTTCGCTTTCTTTTTTGTGACTTGTTGCTGGAGAGGCGGGGCCGGTGCTGTGCTTAGCTTGATACTTTTTTACTTCTAGTGCATACTGCAGCTGCCATTAAAAAGTGTGCCACAAGTGTGCAGTATGGATTACATTGGGAACTACTACTTTCTCATAACATGGCACCGTGAACTTTGACCCTCTTGCTCACATATTTGCTGCGCAGAGGATCGTGGGTCACAATAGCCAGAAAAGCATGCTGGCTTGCATACTGTGACCAGATGTAGCAGAACATCCTGGTACTTTTAGCATACTGCAATTGACATACTATGTATCGGGACATTGGGCAAACTAAATGGTTGGTTAGACACAATAACAAATAGACCGAAGGTAAAGAAAAACGTTTTATTTTTCTGTCCTTTCCATAATGCCTGAGCCTGTCGGAGGCAGAAACAAGCTCTATTAGCGGACGTATGTTGATGGTGAGGAGTTATTACATTGCAGCTCGTTTAGCGGCCCTCTGCAGCACTCTAGTTCAATACTGGACCAATTTAAAAAAAATGTTGTCCCCATTAGTCACTTAGACACAAAAACATGGGGAAAAAAAGGGTCCAGGTTGAAAAATAGTGAAGTCACCCTTTACAATAAATCCTAAATCTAATCTTAACTCAAAGGTTAGGAGTCCAGAAAGTGTCATAATACTTCATTTTGGTGACTTTCCTGACCTTTCTGTTCCTGTGGGGAGATTCTTTTGAATATGACCTTTACTTAACCACGATGGCCTCTCGAGAGCTTACTGGCCAAAATGGCAACGCAATTAGGTCACTTGAAGCAGCACAGTGCCGTCATTCACGGAAGGAAACAGAGTGAAGAAAGACAAGCGAAAAAGACACTATCAAACGTAAGGCCATTAAAATAGAATTGGGGAAAAAAATCCATCTTAAAAACCCATTAAAACCCACCATGACCCCCATTGACCCCCATTGTGTGATGTAAATTTAACCACTGACGCTGGAATCGGTCCCGGCAACAGCAGGGATAAAAAACTCAGACCACCCGCTGTTCAGACGGAGCCGAGCAGCCATCCATACTGCACTTTATGTGTCTGAATCATTATGCAATTATCATCCAGTGCTCTCCCAACCCCAGACAGCATTAAACCCTTGCATAATATACAGTAACATACAGTAGGTTGACACGCACATGCGCATGTGGTAACTTTAATCTCCCCCTGTTTAATCTCCACGTTCAGTACAGAGTGTGTACAGCTGGATGCTCTGCTGCTTCAAAAAGCCCCGACTGCCTGCAGATTTGGCACTTTGAGCCTTTGCATAATGTACAAGCAGTTATTTAAGAGGAAAATCCACCCTAACAGGGCTGCACACATCGCTGTTGAACTTAATTTTGCATTATATTGATGGATTTATTGAGCCAAAAGATTGCGTTGTCTTCCTCGGGGTGAGAAAATGTTTTCCCTTCCCCAGGCTGCTGAATTTACATAATTTACTGCCATATTTTAGAATTTATGCTTGCACACTGGAAATGACACATTCATTATTTCAATCCTTTAAACTGTAGTAGATTCAAATGTGTCACCTGCTTGGACAGATGTCGAACCTACAATTCTGTGCAGCTATGTGAACAAGTGCCTCCCGAAGTGAGAAGAGACGCAAGAGAGCTGAGCTCAAATCTGAAGAAAAAGCTAAACATGCGAAGACACGCAACCAGGAGCTGCAAACCGAACGCTGAGTTGGAAGCAAATGTCGTAAACACCGACAAAACATTCTGTTGTCGCTGCACTTTCTAAAACAGGAAACTTTTCAAGGTTTCAGAATTTCACATTCCAGGAGTCCAGGACATAGCGTACAGTGCACCATCTGGCAGACGCTTTCATACAAAGTGACTGCCTGTCTGGTTTGCATCAATGAGAGCCGCACCGATAACAGCGCTTTTCAAACTGGTAGAAGTGAATATATTCGCAGAGAATAAACACCAGAATAAATGTTCCTCGCTTTTCACACAACCAACGAGTCTGCAGAGCCGGGCTCCAGCCCAGAAAGCATCTCTCGGTGGTCCCGCAGATCAGAGTCTCAGTTCTGGGTTTTCTGGGTTTTGGGAGACAGATGTTCACTTGGACTAACCGTCCAAGATGACAGGAATAGAACACAGACAGTTCAGCTCTAGGACGGCTTCTCCTTTTAAATCTCCCACTCAGACTGAGAGCTTCCCCAGGTTTTCTCTTAGCTATTCTCTTGCAGTCTGCATTTAAGTTTTTGCCGTTTTAAAACCGTTTCCAGGTTTGTAAATCCCCTTTTCCTACGCTGAAACACGCTTTACATGAACCTAACTAAGTTTATAATGACACCGACTCCCCCTGTGGCTTGGGGTTTTTTCCCCCCTATGTTTCAGTTGTATCTGGGCGTGGTGCTGTCTGCCGTGGTCATCATCACCGGCTGTTTCTCCTACTTCCAAGAGGCCAAGAGCTCCCGAATCATGGACTCCTTCAAGAAAATGGTGCCACAGGTAAGATGATGCGTCTGGTGTTTGGTGTAATCGCACAGCTTTCTGAGTCAATAAGCCGTCCCTCAAGTAGGGCTTACACACTCATCTGAGTGGAAACCTAATAAGCTTGCACAAAGGAAGAATAAATGTTTGAGCCAACTTCGGATTGTGAGTGTGTTTGTATAAAAACTCCCCTCGCGTTATCCACCTCGAGCACTTCGATTGCCTAATTCTTTAATCTATTTAGGCTCTTTTCACTCCCTCCTTGTCTCCTTTTCCACTACCTGTCTTTTCCCTCTCTTTTTCCTTTTCATCTCTGCATCTCTTCCTTTCACATACCTCAACAACCTCTGGCGTGTTATCGCTCTTCTCCCTCTGACTAAATCCTCTCTCTGTTCCCAAACTCTCGCTCTCTCTTCCTCTCGCTCCCTCTCCTCTCCCTTCTCTCCTCTCCCTTTCCCTTTTTCTCCATGCCAGCAAGCGTTGGTGATCCGGGAGGGGGAGAAGATGCAGATCAATGCTGAGCTTGTGGTGCAGGGAGATGTGGTGGAGATCAAAGGGGGAGACCGCATCCCAGCTGACCTTCGAGTGATCTCCTCCAGCGGGTGCAAGGTAGAGGAGGGGTGCTGGGCTCAGCCCGGGGAGCCTGCAGGTCTCAGTGGGATAACTGACTTTGGTCTTTCTATACTCTAATTTTAATCAATTATTGTTTGTCATGTTCCCCATCTTAAGTTAGTGCGTGAGCATGCTAACATTTGCTAATTAGCACAAAAACAAAGTACAGCTGAGGCCGATGGGAATATCTTTGGGCCTTTGGATAGCCTTGCTATTGAATCCAGTGGCTACTTGGCTTCTTTTGATTTGGGGTTTCAAAGGTGCAATGTGTACGATCTGGCCCATGCTCCAAACAAATAGGAGGAGCTGGATGCTAGTTGCTACAGCTAACCGTTAACTGAAGGTTCCGTCCTCCCGACACTTTTAATTCAATCTAATTAACAAACTATCAAAACGTACACGGACACTTTACCTTCAACGTGACTGACAGTCCCTCGGTGCAGCTCTACTTCTTTGTCCTCCCATGAGATCAGACCGGGCGCAACAGTGACTCACTATCGCCTCTCGAGGTTTGTAAGTGGTATTACAAGAGAGGACAGGCCGGGGCTAGCTGGTTAGCATGCTAATTTCGTTATTGATATCTCTATAACACGATACTTTGACGTCTTTGACGTGATGCCAACACTGTAACCGCTTCACCTTCTGTCGATTATATTAGTTCTCTATTTGAACGTTTTAAACAAAAAAATTGCACCTTTTAAAAAAAAATAACTGAGTGAAGCAGAATTCTCTTCATACTCATGAGGCAGGGCGTTCTGTTACACACATTTATACCTTTTGAAATTTCAATATTTAACTCAATTTATTTCAGTGCTTACTGATGCTACAGGATGAAATGTCTCCAATATGTCACACTATTAGCTTGAGTTTATTGCTCTGGATTCTGAAGCAGTGTGATACGACTGGTAATTAATTGTCTGTCTCCACCTGTAGAGGACTGCAGGGAAAATAACCAGGAAACGGTTTTGATATGACAAGAGTGTTGCACTTGTCGCTGATGAGTGCCGCTGCTCTCATTTCCACCCTGTCAGTTTTAACACTCCACCCTCTCCTGTTACATCCCTCAGTCTCAGAGGGTAACACCGTTACTCTCCTCCTTTCTCCCCCATCCCTCTGAAGGTGGACAACTCGTCTCTGACGGGAGAGTCGGAGCCTCAGACTCGCTCTCCAGAGTTCACCAACGAAAATCCTCTGGAGACCCGCAACATCTGTTTCTACTCCACCAACTGTGTCGAGGGTCAGTATAGGCCACATCTGGCCAAGATTGTCTCTAATCGCCATTGAAAGCCTTTTTTTTTTTTCGCCATCTGGAGATCAACTTAGTTTTGGCCTTTTCGACCAACCAAGAGTGTGTTTCGGTGCGTTCCTGAGAACAGCCGTCCCTCCATCCTACAGTAGTGTGTTGGCATTAGATTCTAAATGCATTTTAACCAATGGGGATTTAATTTGTTTTATTAGTTGCTGTCAATCATCGAAGGGTAATGCAGGAAGCATTGCAATGGGATTTTCACATTAGAATCTGCAACATCATCCAGTTTTAATCTAAATTTAAAAACCAACCACAAGCTCCGTTTAGTAGATGTTCAGGAGCTTTCAATCATATCACATCATCTTCATCAGTAGATGTCATGACCTGTTGTCATGCGATTGTAGAAATTGAAATTTGCATTTTTTTCTGAGCACTTTAACGACTTCTTGTCTCTGTTGACTTAATATCAAAGATTCGGGATTTAATTGCAACCTATCTCTAAAACTTAAATATGTGGATCAGTAATGAAAAGTATTGATGTGCTATATGTGTTATAATCCCTGTAAATTCTGCTGAGCTCTGTAGATCACATTATTTGTATTTTACGTGAGTCCGTTTCTGTCCTCACTCACTCACTCGGTCCGGCATGTGATCGACCATCAATCACTGGCCAACGTCTGTAATTCTCCTCCATCCATCACCACTCTTTATCCGGCCCATCACCTCCCTATCAGCCAGCTGATGCCTGGACATTTGTTAAAAGAGCTCTCTTCAACAAAATAAAATAGACATCATTTAAAAAAAGTATGACATCTAACAGAGTACCTACTGTGACAAACGGTGTTTTTAACTGATGCTTCTGTCCAGAGAGACTCACAGTGAGTCGCCGCTCCCCTCTCAGGTACGGCCCATGGCCTCGTGATATTCACCGGGGACCGGACGGTGATGGGTCGCATCGCCACGCTGGCGTCGGAGCTCGAGGTCCGCCGCACACCCATCAACATAGAGATCGAACATTTCATCCACCTCATCACGGGCGTGGCCGTCTTCCTGGGCGTGAGCTTCTTCATCCTGTCAGTCATCCTGGGCTACACCTGGCTGGAGGCCGTCATCTTCCTCATTGGCATCATCGTGGCGAACGTGCCTGAGGGACTGCTGGCTACTGTCACTGTGAGTCGTTTGTATGTATGTGTGTGTGTGTGTGTGTGTGTGTGTGTGTGTGTGTGTGTGTGTGT